TGGCGAGGCCGCGCGGGGGGCTCCCGCCAGCAGCTAGAGGAGCGCTTCGCCGACCTGGCGGCCAGCCACCTGGAGGCCATCCGCGCGCGGGACGAGCGGGACCGGCAGAACGCGCGACTGCGCGAAGAGAACGCCCGGCTGCGGCTGGAGAACCGCAGGCTGAAGCGCGAGAACCGCAGCCTCTTCCGTCAGGCGCTACGGCTCCCCGGCGAGGCTGGCGACTGCCCGCCCGCCGAGGCGCCGGCAGGCCCGGAGGACGCGGGCGCGAACCGGCGGTCGAGGGGCTGCGGCGGCCAGGACGAGGAGCCCGGCAGCCCCAGGGCCTTGAGGGCGCGGCTCGAGAAGCTGGAGGCCATGTACCGCCGGGCCCTGCTGCAGCTACACGTCCAGCAGCAGGCGCGGCCCCCGCGCGGGGACCAGGACGAGCCGCCTCCGCGGGACCCCGAGGCCCACCTCCATGCTGGGGACCCAGAACCCGCGGGGCCTTGGCTGTAGCCCGGGAGCGCGTCCTGGGGGCGTGGCCTGGAGGCGGGGCGCGAGCAGGCCCCGCCCTCTGCGCGCAGAACCTGGCTGCCCTCAGCCTAGGAAAATCAGGGCTCTGTGTCCGCCCCGCCCACTGGCCTGCGGGCCCCGCCCACCGACGCTTCCTGGTGCATCTTCATTTCTGGAGCACCCATGTATGTGGTGCTGTACAGTCCAGAGGCCCTCATGATACCAGGGTGGGTTTCACAACGGGAAGAGCTGGCTCCCTGTGGGCACTTCCTCCGTTTTCAACTTTCCTAAGTGTTGTGAGGACTGCTTTATCTTCGTTTTCTCTAGTTTTGACTCTTTGAGAAGTGAGTTGCTCCAGTGTATTGAACGTTCTGAAGTTCCTCCAGTGATCTCCTGTGTGGCATGGCGGACACTTTGCGTATTTGTTTTTTTATAGATTGGTATTAATTGGATGTCCAATGAAGTGTCTGTCTTTCTTTTACAAAGATCATTTATAACTTATGATGACCCATAACTCCAGTGCACACCCTATACATACACACTGATTTGTCAATGGAGAATTTTTAATGATTCTGCTTATATGTTATTATTTTGAACGGGTGAATAAAATCTGGTGCGTCAAAAGTAATCTAAAAGTGTCCCAAGGTATAATTTGAAGTATGTCTAATTTGTATGTTGGTGTGAGAGATCTATATCATCTTCATATCTGTCTTTGGTGATCCTTTCCAGGCAGCCTTTTTTTTTTTTTGAATATGTCGTGATCTTTTAAGCAACCTAAAGATTAGTCTGAACATTGTTTCATTTCTGTTTCATTTTAGATTAACAGGAGCTTATCACTGTATAGCTAATTCACTTTGTTTTAAAAACTTTTAATAAATTTCAAATCACTTGTCTAGGAAAACCACCAGAATGATTTATGTTGTTATTTTAGTGGTAGAAAAATGTGACCAGTTTTAACAAATATTTTAAGATCATTTTTATTTTTATTTCATTTTGTTGATAAAACATCTTCCTATTAGGTAATGAAGAGAATATCTGTGTGCCTGTACAGAAAGTTGTGATACCTTTCTTCACCCATCATGAGGTTGGTGGCTAGTACTCTTACATAAATAGGTCAACAAGAGGAAAGCATCCAGTTCTGTGTGAGCCTTCAGAAATACAAGCTTAGCCTATGCCTGTGATCCTTGCTATCCTGGTTCCTGAGACCTGAAGGATTGTGTTTCAAAACCACCCTAGGCAGGAAAGACTGAGAGCCTCCACCTCCAGTTATCAGAGTGACAGACTAGAGATGTGGTTCAACTGATAGAATACTGAGAAACCAAGTAAGCAGCAGCATGGGTTGGTGAACCAAAGTTGAAGCTTCAATACTTGTACCTCCTTTCTCCCACCGCAAAAGAAAATAAAAACTAACCACACAAGGACAAGTAAAATTTATGTGATATATGCAAGCTGCATAAATGACCCACCAGGTAGAAGTGTGATTGGAATAAGAAAATCTAGTTGGAATTGACAATTTTTAGAAGGAAAGTTGGTTGCAGGGATTGTGATACAGGGGTGAAATTGATGCATTTCATGTAAACAGGTACAGATATGTAGCAGTGAAGCGCTCACCCCCAACGTAACTGACATAAACCAATAAATAGTAATGAAACATAACAAAAAGAAGTGTGATTGGACTGAAAGGTATATGGATTGAAGGCAATTGGCTGAAAGGGAAAAGAAATCTAGCAAGCCCTGGGTTATACCTTCCAGTTATAAGGCACGATCCCTTCTAGAATGAAGGTCTTGTAACCTATTTCAGACAGTGTAAGGCAGAATTTTTTTTTATGTCATCTCTTAAATGGAAAGGCATGGGAAGGTTAGAGTAATATTTCTACTTTTTATAGCTGTCTTTGTGGGAAAAGGGCTTCAGTTAGTATAATCTACCTTGAGGAAAAGAGAATGCCAGTTTCTGTAGTTTGCCTCAGGGAAAGAGAAAGCAGTGAAAGATGGACAAGAGAAGGTCAGAAAGAAACTTTGTTTCTGAGACCTTTCCAGTGTCTTTCAAAGCACCATTCTTTAAAGTATTGTTTTATTATGAGTCCTCCCAAATCCTGGACTTCAGAAAGCATTAAGGTAATGGAAAACACACCAAGGGAACAGTATGAAGAATAGGGTTGTTAGAGAAATAAAATGTGTTTTGGTTGTGTGTGTGTGAGAGAGAGAGAGAGAGAAAGAGAGAAAGAGAGAGAGAGAGAGACAGAGAGAGAGACAGATTCCAAATGTTTCTAATATGCATTACAAATATTCATTACAAAACAAGGCTGCAGGGAGTTATTATAGTGATTCTTTTAGTTTGTTATTTTCTTTTACACGAAGCAATAAGATTTTTTTTCCACCTGCATCTTCCAGCCAGAAATGACTTCAAGACAGCATCAGCTCATCTAGGATGTTGTTCTGAGTTTTAAAAACACTTTCTATTTTGCTTGTAGGTAATTGATAGTGAGTTGTGAATATTAAAATCTTCCCCTGTGGCCAAAATAAATGAAAATAAATTTGTTATTAGAAGAGTTATGGAAATTAATCCTGACTTACTTTATATCATTTTCTTTCTATTGGTCAACCATGGGGCCTGAACTCTGGGCCTGGGCACTGTCCCTGTGATCTTCAGCTCAAGGCAGGCACTCTGCCACTTGAGCCATAGTGTCACGTCCAGTTTTCTGGTGGTTAATTGGAGATAAGAGTATCACCTACTTTTCCTGCCTGGCTTGGAACCATGATTCTCAAATATCAGCCATCTGAGTAGCTAGGATTACAGGCCACCAGCTCCTGGCTACTTCATTTTCTTAAGAGAAAAAAAAGATAAAGAACATTTCTAGGAGACAGTAGAATTTGAGAATCAAAGAATAAAGTTCAAATTAAGGTAATTAAAGTTTACTTTAATCTTTCTAAGCAATACTTTTCTATTCATTGCAATGGACAGTGGCCTTCCACTTCAATCCTAGCTACTTGAAAGAAAGATAGGATTGTGGTTCAGGCTAGGCAAGTAAAAAACTGTTAGCAAGATCTTACATCAAATAACAAGCCAGAAGTAGTGGAACACACCTGTTATCTTATGTAGGTGGGTGGAAGAGATAGAATTCTCAATGGAAGGCTAACCTGGACAAAAAGCCCTAGGCACTATCTTAAAAATAACTGAAGCAAAAAGGGAGAGGGTATGGTTCAGTTGGTAGAGTGCTTGTCTAGCAAGCTTGAGGCCTTCAATTTAAACTGCAATACCTAAAAAAAATTTTTTTAAAAAGTGTATGTTCAGTTGGTGACAATTTGCAATCCAAAGCATGAAAACTATCCATAAATGCTATTTTACTTATTTCCATACAGGTTGCACTCATGAAGCCTTTCACCCAACATTATATTGGGGATTAGTGTGCCAGTATGTGAATTGTACGGGGAAAAATCAGTCTATTGTATAGGTTGATACTGAATAGTACATTAAGTACTTATTCTCACCTAAAATATATTTAATGAGATTCTATCTTCATTTTCCCCTTAAGAGATCAATGTATATGTGTATATGTATACATACAGTACATTTAGACTGTTTTCTTTATATGGTGAAGCTAAGAAAGTATTAAAATCTGTCTCATCAATTGTCAGTGAAAATCTATGTCTTTAAAGCTGCATTTCAAAATGACTTGCTTAACAGTAACCAGAACCATCCTCACATCTACACAGGCCAGAGCCCTGGGACCATCTATGACACCACAATATGTATGTATGTGTGTGGATGCATGCATAACACACATGGAAGAATTTATAAGTTTTTCCCCCATCCCCAAACTTTTATACTTTTTCCTTTCTTGTTTGTATTGTTGTAATTGCACAATATCACTGGGTAATCTTTCTGGGGGAAAATATTAAAAAATCATTATAAGTGGTAAGTAATTTGTTTTTGTTGTAATAAGAATGCTTTGGCTTTATCATGTTATGAGAGTCTTCAGTTTCTTATTTTTAAGTTAATATCTTGGCTATATTTACTCTTGTTTAATGGAATAATTTTGCTTTTACCTCTTTGGCAAAACAGTTTAAATAGAGATGGAGTTTTGCATTACAATTTAATTTATATAAAGCACATACAGAGTTTTACATTAAAAACTTGTCTTTTATATAAACCAGATATTACTACTTAATTGAGACATTGGCAGGAAAAAAAATCACAAGGATCTATATAAGGGGAAGTTAAAACTGATAAACTAGTATGGTGGGTTCTTGTTCTCTGAGGGTATATAAATTGTGGAAGGATAGATAGCAAACAGCCTATTAAACAAAGCAGGAAGTAAAGGCCACTCAGAAGAATGAGCATGGAAGCCAGAACTGGTTTTCTACCTTGTGGTCCTGGATTGCTCTTTTTTGCTGTATTTCCCCCATACACACAATTTTTTTTTAATTTCCCTTTAGGCAATTTGTCAAATCGTGATTGGTTAATTTAAAACAGGCAAGACCCCTCCCCCCCGCAGACTGCAGTATGGTGACTGAGACCTTTTTTCCCTCTCAGTTTAATAAAATTCTAAGAAATAGTTTTGGAGAATATATTATGACTCATGATGGTAAAACATTTCTTAAGCAATACATACCAGGAACGAAGAGATCATTGCTTTGACTAATTTAAATAAGAACCTTTCCTCAAAAATAGGCACACATTGATTTGTGTATGTTAACTGGAAGAAGACAATTAGAAAATATAAAATGGGCAAAAAGCTTAGAGCTAGATGCATTGAGAACTCCTATAAATCAATAATGAAAAGAAAAGGTACCCATTAGAGAAAAAGGCTAGCAAAAAGAAACCTTAAAAATCCTCTATATTAGAGGAGAACTGATAATAAATATAAGGGGAAATATTTAAATTAACAATAATATAAAATAAAACTAATTTTCCCTGTTAATTTTTTTGTATTTCATAATTTTAATAGTCTTCAATTCTCTATTTGGAGAATCAAAAATGCATGAATATATTTAAAAATCGTTTGGAACATTCTCTCTAGTGGTATGCTTATATTGGATCAGAAATGCTGTATATAACTTTTTCTCTTATTTTATCATTTGCAACTAGGTATTTTGGAGGTCCTCTTTCCCTTCCTTCCTTCCTTCCTTCCTACCTTCCTTCCTTCCTTCCTTTCTTTCTCCCTTCCTTCCTCCCTTCCTTTCTTTCTTCCTTTCTTCCTGTCCTGAGGCTTGAATTCAGAGCTTGGGATGCTGTCCCTGAGCTTCTTTTGCTCAAGGCTAGCTTGAGCCATAGTGCCACTCATTGCTCTTTCTGAGTAACTTATTGGAGATGAGTCTCATAGTTGGTTCCATGGTATAATGGTGAGCGCTCTGCACTCTGAATCCAGTGATTCAAGTTCAAATCTTGGTGGCACCTTGCTGTTTAATTTGAGGAAATGCGATTTTACAATGCATGGGGGAAAAAGTCTCTTGGATTTCCCTGGCTGGGCTGCCTTCAAACTATCTCTGTTCCCTGAGTAGCTAAGATTACAGGCATGAGCCACTGGTGCCTGGGTGGTCCTCTGGGTTTTATTTGATATATAATGAATACTAAGAAAGGCAAGTTTATTTTAATGCAGAGGTTAAACTGAGGAATATTTTATATAT